TCCTTAATACTTGGCAGCGCCGAGCTAAGCCGACCGCCTCTTCCAAGCAACGCTCACCTCTAAAGATCCCGTTTCTCCGAACCACCTCCCAAATAGTACTGCTGGTGGTGCTCACACAGGCGCCCTGCCGGTCCCCCTGCCGCAGGGGTAGTGCTCGGCTCTGCCCTCCCCACGGGGTGGGGGCCAGGCTCGGCACCCTCCCGCTCGCCACTGAAATGCGACCAGGAACGCGGGCACCCGGGACCCGGCTGCAGCTGCCAGCTCCGCGTCCCGCTCCTGAGCCACACGCTGGCGTAAAATATCCCGGGGACCCTCCTAGCACTTGCCGCCGGCCATTCATAAATCCATGCGTGTGCGTGCCCGGCGCCGCGGATATGGGGCTCTAACGAGGCGGAGGCGATATTTCTGACACAAACTGATCCTGGCTCCTCAACTTTGCCATCTCGGAGAAGGCAAAGGGCACCGCGGCTTTAAATCGCCCGGGGCTAGAATTACCAGGAAGGAAAAGAGAGAGAAATGAAACCCCAACTGTACCTGGCGGCGTCTGGGAATCCCTCGCCGGCACCGATCGTAATCCCCCTCTGCGCCTCTGGCCCCCCACACCAAAACTTTGCCGCCGCCGCTCTTCGGTGGTAGCCTTCGCCGCCCTCCTCCCGGTGCCGCTCCCGGCCGGCCCCGTGGGCCCGTGCCCCACCGGCAGCCGCCGCTCCGAGCGACCCCCGCGCCTTCCTCCGCCCTTACGAGGCGGCGGCATCGTCCTCCCCCCTGATCCGCCACCTCCTCCTCCGGCGCGCAGCCCACGGCTCTGGCATCCCCAACGCACTTTCTCTCCTCTCCTCGCTCTCTCTTCCCCCTGCCGTTCCTCCTTCTCCGGTAAAAAAATAAACCAGAAGGGACCGCGGCTACGCTTGGTCTTGGGGTTTCTTTCTTTCTTTCCTTTTTTTTTTTTTTTTCTGTCCTCTGGAAATGATGAAAGGATCACATGAGGAGCAGGCACGGCGACCCAGGACCCTCAGAAGTCGGAGGAGGCATCGGGCACATATATGTGAGTATGTGTGTATGTATGTGTCTGGCTCTCTCCAAGTCCTGAGCCTGCCTCCAGCCGGGATTGCAGGCTGATCTTAGCAGTAATGATGCCTCAGATCTCACTATTCCCTGCTAATGTAAGTCGTGCCTTTTTTTCCTCCCTGCCTGACACCCCAGGGAGATGTTTACAGTAATGAATTCAGTTGATAGCCATCTCTCTCTCTCTCTCCTGGAGTCCCTCCCACATTTCTAGTTTAAAGAATGCTTGGAAGGCAGGACTGCAACCTAAAGCTTTCCAAGAGGCAAAGTCAGGCTAGATTTTTTTCTTCCTTGTTCCCCCCCTCTTGTCCCCCTGCCCGCTTTTAACCCCTTGCTTGCTGAGGACAGTTTAGCGAGCTCCGTCCCTTTGGACTCGCCCTCCGCCTCTGCTTTCAGTGAGGGGAACCAAGCGGGCGGCTCTGCCCGAGGGTGTGTGTGGGCTGCGCAGACCCCCGACCCCCGCCCCGCCTCAGCGCCGAGCCGGCGCTGCGGGAGAGGGAGGTGCGGCTATCGCCGCCCTTAGCGGTGGGACTGCCCCGGCACCGCCGCTCCGGGGACTCTCAGGGTGTATCGGAAGGGAAACTGGGAAGTGAGCTGAAAAACTCCCCGAGCTGCGGTCCTGGGAGATGCCCTCGCTGGCAGTAATTACAGCCGTGCTCTCCACCAACATGGCGATATTTCATGTGCAGCCGCCGACAAGCCCGCCTCCCCCACCCTCTTCTTTCCCTCTCCTTCCTCCCTCCCTTGCGAACTTTTAGATAGTAGTAGCAGTGCGCAACAAATGTAACACAAAATAAAAGAATCTCCAACCCTCAGGGAAGAGACGGACCTCCTTCTAGTATTCTGATTTCCATCATCAGAAAGACTTTAAAACCGCTGGAGAAACCGCCTTTTGCCCTTAAGCGGTAACAACTCCCCCACCACCCCCACCTCCCCCTCCGCCCATGTCTCCAACGCACATTCACTGTGTGTCCGTATGAGTGTGTGTGTGTTAGTGCATCCCGGGCTGTCTGCGCTTGTTTCGGGGTAACCCTTCCCCCGCCGCCCAGCTCCCTAGAAGGCTACTGCCGTGTCCTGACAAGTCCAGTTACAGGCAAGACTGTTTAATACTGATGAGCATTTGAGTGATAGGATACTTGAGCGTCAAGATAGGACGTGAAATGTGCGAAGAGAATTTGCCTCAAACTCCTTCATTAGTAAAAAACATTCACAATATGGCTTTTGCTGCGAGTTACTTTAAGAGACGGGCTAGGGAGGGATGGACGAGAGGGAGCTGATCAATGCCATGTGTCGAGGAAACAGAAACGGCAACCGAAATGCCTCGGGGTTTGTTTCCCCCTCACCCCTGGCTGCTCAGTGGCTTGTATTTGCTCAGCCCTACCTCAAAAGCTGAATCACTCGCCATTAGCTCCGCGCCTCCTTCACCCTTCGCTTGGGGGGGCTAAACTACTCACGACTTCAAAGGCTCAATAAAGCCGTACCGAGGAGCCAGCCGCCGAACCCTGGCGAGGGTCAGGCCGGTGCAGCTCCCGCCCCGCCGCACCCGCCCTGGCTTCCTCCCCCTGCCCTCCAATGGGGCTTCGGAGTGCCCCCGCCTATGGATAGCCCGGAGCCAAACTGAGCTGCGCCGCGCTGCCTGCCCGCTCGGAAAAGGAGTTGCGTCCTCACCTACGCGGAGTGATGGCGGGGGGCGGGAAGGAGGCGGGGGGGGGGGCGGTGGACGTGGAAGGAGGAGCGCAGGTAGCCCGACATTCCTCAGGAGACTCAGGGAGCGGAAAGGAGTGGAGGACGAGACCCCGCTCCCCTCCTGGGGGCCGGGGTCTGTTCTGCGCCCCCGGGATGGAGGGGAGGCAGCCGGCGGCCCTCTGCGGGTCTTAGCCGACAGGAAGAAGCAGGTCTGGCACGGGTCAGACCCGAGGGGAGAGCCTGCATCCCTGACTTGGAGCAGGGGCTGCCCTGTAGTGGAGTCTGCCTGTAACTCCCAGCAGGTTCCGAGAGATGAAAGGACCAGGAACCCCGTAGAGTCCAAAGGGAAATGAATACCCTTTTCCAAAGACTGTTCTAGGTTTTTTTTTGTTTTTTTTTTTTTTACTTTTTAAAATCTGTTCTTTTTCTTTCTATTTTTTCTTTCTTTAAGCCTCTGCATACTTTTCAGAGCACTTATTTGACAATGATTTATATCTCCTTCCCGAAGCTGAAGGACAACCAGTGCATTTTCAAGTGAAAAAACCCCACTTTCTTATCCACCCAACCCTCCGTTCTCCATGCTCCCGGTATTTTTAAACCTGTCGCCAACATATAAGGCAGACCAGACCATTGTCGATTGCAGGTATTTCTGCCCTCTGTGCCCCCAGTCACGGAAGAAAGTGGGAATGTTAAAAAGTTCTGCAAGACTGCAGAAAGTTTCCCTGTCCCACAGTCTCAGAGGGATTAAACAGAATCATTCCTGTTTCTCTCCCTGCCTCTGGACCCTCAGACAGTCTACCCTTCAAGTCAGTGGATGATACTCAGGTAATTTTTTCGTCAAATCAAGATCATGTCAATCCAGAAAATTACTTAATCGGGCATTACCTGCTCCTGTGGAGATGGGTCCTCCTTGGTAGGTCACCCAAAGCCCACTGGGTCCGGCAGGTTGAAAGGGGAGAAAGTGGCAGAACAGCTGGGCTCCGGCATGGTACTGTTTCTAAGGTTCACCACCGAGGTCTCTGTTTTCCATAGCTGTCACTGATCACCATCACCGAAGGTTTCTCTCAAAGAAAGGAGGAAGGAAATTTTCTTCCCAAGCTGCTTTCCAGCCGGTCATTTGACCCTGACGCCCACCGATGACACTGAAGAACACCCCGCTGAAGAGGCTAAGCGCCTCGTAATTTCCTTTTCTTCCCCCGACGGCCCCGGCGCACCGCCGCAGAGCGATCTTATCGCCGTGCGATCATTATTCACGGGTGACAACCACAGATGCAGTGCTCGTAAGTGAGGGTGACAGATTTCAAACGCCGGGCTGCAGCGTACTCAGCCTCAAACATATTCTTCCTCAAACTTTGCCTACCAAGCAATCAGCGACTTAACCCTTTGCAGCCCTTTCTGTCGTCCGGGCACCGAGCCCTCAGCACGGGGGGGAGCGCTGGTTTAAAGAGAAGAACAGGACAACGCGGCTGCTTGGCTTGGGACTCTTTATTACGTGCCATTTTCTATTCTTGGTTATTTTCACTTGAAACAAATCAGAACCGCCAGCTCTGGGAAGCAGATGGAGAGCTGGATACTTCTCTGTGATTAGAGGCTGGAAAAAATCCTCTCCACAAAGCAGATCGCTGGGGATTCACCTGCGGTCCCTCTTTGTCACCAGAGTCTAGTATGCAAATTGTCATATGCGTGGCATGAATCCCTCTCATACGTGCATATACAGAGCTTCTGCACTTTCCTCAGCGTGTTATGACAAAAAGTACAGTTCCAAAAGTGCTATTTCACTCAGACCTCCGGATTCAGCTCGTTTTCAGGTTATTAACTACAACGGAGACAGGAGTGAGTGAGAACCATATTTCCATGAGAGAAAAAAAAAAAAGTTTTTTTCACACATGCACTTTGTAGTCAAAGGAAATATTTACCATCATCAAACTCCAACATGTCAGAACATGTTTCCTCCAAAGCGCAAGAAAGCCTTAAAAATGAGGGAAAAGCATGTGCAATTCAAAGATGAAATGAAGTGCATGAAAGCTTTTCAAAGTCAGTACCACTACCTCAGAGCCTGATGTCAAGACAATGAATTAGCACTTGTAACACAAAGATGTAGAGGAGGAAACAAAATTAGTAAACTCCGCTGGTTTTCTAATATTAATTTATATATGTTTTCAGTGCTTTATGATGTGTCTGTCACCTTCTCTGCCCCCCCCTCCCACCCACCAAAAAAAAAAAAAGTGGGGACACGACCTCTAACTGCAGTTGAACGCCACCGAGAGCTCATTCGTGGGCTGGGCTGTCGCGAGTTCCTTCCAGAGCAGAGTGGTCACAAAGCAGGAAGGACACAGAGGCAGGTAGGTGCCGTATGAATGGGAATTTGAGTGCTTTCTTCATCAAATATATAAGATAAGGCTGGACACGGGAGGAGAAGAATCCTACAGTAAGCAAAAAGGACAGAAAAAAAAGTTACTCTCCTCCCAACCACATTCCTAAGCTCTGATTTTAAGCACAGCAGGCAAATAAATTTCCTTTGAAGAATAACTCCCAGCCCCGCTCAAAAAAAACCCAGACCATTTAGACATCGCATGCATCCTTGTCCTGATTGTAAGAGCATGTGACGCGAGTGGGGAGCGCGACTAGTCCTGGCCGAGTGTGGTTCCGTGGGCAGAAGAAGAAGCGCTGCCGCAGGTGCGCAGCGGGAGCTCCGCAGTCGCGGAGCGGGGCCGCCTGCACGTCCCACGGCGCGGCCAAGGTGGCAGCAGAGCACAGCGGTAGGATGCTCGGCGGCCGGCCAGCGGGGGGAAACTTCCCCCATCCTCTCCTTCCAACACTCTCTGTTTAAACTGATGCACACTCCTTACAAACGCTCCCCCACCCCCCGTTAATCGTGGTTATAGTCTGATTACTTCGACTTCAAACAATTTCGACAGTCCCTCCCCCCTGCCATTACCACACTATGAATGTGTCAGGCATGTATTTATTTATTTCCTAGCAAACTGCTTTGCCTAGTAAAAAGGCTGTAAACTGAAAGGAGCGTATAGAAATATACTGTCTGTAAATTACCTGTGATCATACAAGATGGCCAGCCTGGAGTGATGGTCTGCTGATCTGTAATATGACCTCACTTATTTTAAAGAGAATATGAAATGGGATAACATTAAAATATATTATAAAAATGGAAGTGTCTTTCATATTTTTTTTCCTTCCAGCTATATTGTTAGAATGATTTCTGCAGCTTGCAAGAGAGAGGGTAAAAGGAGATGGAAATTATTCTGTAAGTGGAAGGCTGGTCTAAGTCATACTGAATAATCTCAATTTTTGTCAGTAATGTAAAATTTTACTTCAGGCCTTAAGTTCATGCAGCTGACAGAAGGAAAAAAGTCACTATGTACATTCTTCAAATTTTGTGAAATGAGCTTCTTAAAAAAAGGTTTTGAGGAAGGAAAGGGAAGGGGGAAGGAAAGGAAAGGATGTTTAGAATAGCAGACAAGTGAGTTGTTAAGATATTTTTATATTGTATTGAATTCTAGA